GTTTAGTTAGTGTTAAAGCAGTTTATGCTTAAGTTTATGTCTATGTTGTGTTGTGTTTGTGTTAGACGTGCACTAATAATACTCTAGTACGCGTCTAATACAGTTATGTCTGGGATCTAGGGAGGATACCGTGACAGGCCTAAACTAGAGTAGAAATAGGATGCAAATTATAGCAAATTAACTAGGAGTTTAAGAGGTAGTATTAATTAGTAGTGATACTAAGAAGAGGTTCTTAAACCTAAGCTTTTTCCTTTTATAAAGTAGTGTTAAAAGACACGCCTAAAGACTATTATTTAAAAAGACAAAGCGCCTTCTTATAAGCACTAGTACTAATAAGAGCTCTACTTAGTTAAGAAAGTTAATTATATAATCTAGTGCAGAAACTCTTCTAACCTTAACATAATTAAGCTCTTATAGCTATAGTTAAAACAACGTATAACTGCAAAAGAAGCACCTTAATCTGCTATACAGATAGAGAAGGCTTAAGAGGAGTAGTAGGGGAAGCTTAAACAGTGGCAAATCTTGAGGTGGATTAAAAGGATCCCCTGCCACATCTAGGAGATTATCGCTCTAAATAGGGGCAATAAGTACTAAGAAGGAAGAGCTTTAAAACAAGCCTATTAGAGAGGTCCTACAGAAGAAGAAGCAGCTTAACAACCTTCTGTTTAACCTCAGGAACTAAGCTTAGAAACAGAGGAGGATAGGTCTAATAATTAGCCTAAGAACCGGCCTAGGTATAGAGACTTTAGGGATAAGATGTCATGGTCTGAGTTAGAAGAATGTGGATGGGCAGAAATGGAGGACAATACAAGCGACTAGGGGTTTGGTGTTAATAGAGAATATAAAACAGATAATAGCGATTAATTCCTAGTAGTCCCTACGCTTAATCCTATACAAAAATATAATGTTTTAATGGAGCTTTAACAACCCTAATTCACCCTTAAGCATCTGCCAAGAACTTCGTTCCGCATTAGGAAGAGGCGTTTTGGTGGCTGTGCACTGGCCACCGGCCCTGACTTTTGCGAAGCACCTCCGTACAAACTAAAAGCTTTAACTTACTTAGGGCAGTTCTATTAGGTTTTTATTAATATATAGTAGATCCTGTTAAAATTTTAATCTCTTATACAATTTTAGTAGGGGAAAAAAAAATCCTAATGGCAGTGCCAAGAAAGGCCCCGATTTTTGCATATAAGAGATGCGGAAACGGGCGGCGCTCGGGCCACACCCACCCTTTCTAATCTCCGTTGGAAGGAATCTAAAGGATGATGCAGAATCTCTACCTCGTCCTGTTCTTAAACCAGTCGGTTGGCCCTAAATATCTGCAGTGATACATTACGCGCCTTCATTGCAGTTCCTGATATTCAGGCGTTGGTCAAGATTGAGCTTACCCCTCCCTGCCCGGCCCCAGTCACGTCAATATGGCTGATCTTTTCAGCGTGACTGGCACTGTTGTTGGAATTGCGTCTCTTGGGATCCAGGTGTGTAGCGGGATCGCTAAGTATTATGCGCAATGGAAAGACTACGACGAGGACGTACAAGGCACTCTAACGCAGATCAACGAGCTTCGATCCCTGTTTCAATCTTGTCGGAACGCAGTCGAAGGATTGGATGAAGCCCCGACTGGTCTCCTTACACTTCTCGAATCTCAGTTCAAGGCTTGTGCGACGGCAATATCGAGGCTCAGAAAATATCTCGATAAGCTCTGTGCCAAAACCCCAGGAGAGAGTGCAAGCATGACCGGCGTCGCTTTAGCAAGTCTTAGTCGCCGGCAAAAGCAACTAATGTACCCGTTTAAACAGGGTACACTTGGAAAGTTGAGGGATACTGTTTTTGAAGCAAGATCGAATCTCATTCCCGCATTGCAAGCTCTCAATCTGTGAGTACCGAGTCGACCCGAGGCTGGTTCTTGTCACTGACTATGTGGTGTTGGTCTATCACGGACTCAGTAGCTAAAGAATTGAAAACTCTTGTTGTTCAATTCAAGGATTGGCGTAAAGAAGAAGATAACCAGAAAATCCTAGAATGGCTTTCGCCACTACGCTTTGAAGAACGTCAAGAGACAGTCATCAGCAAACGTCACCCTGGGACTGGAAAAGATATTCTTCGTGGCAAAGAGTTTTTGGAATGGAGTAAAGGAGGGACAACCTCGCCCTCTGGGCTATGGCTTTCAGGCAAAAGTATATCCCCGTGTGGATCGTGACGCAACGGTCTGAGCTCACTTTGATATAGTGGGAACCGGAAAATCGGTTCTGGTCTCCTCTATCATCAATCATCTCCAACATACACAGGCAAGCACTGCACTCATATCGTATGTTTATTGCGATTGGCAGCAGAGTCGATTGCAAAGCACCGTAAATTTACTCGGAAGCCTTACGCGCCAGATAGCAGAGTCAGAGGCAGATATTCTACCTCTAGTAAAGTCTCTTCATGCAGATCATCAAGATGGGAAATCACGGCTAACAGCAAGCGAGCAAGTTAAACTCCTGCAGCATCTCCTAGGTCGAGAGAAACGAGTATTTCTGATTATTGACGGCTTGGATGAATGCAATCACGATTCAAACGTTTCTGGCGGAACTAAAATGGCAAGGATTGAATCAACCATGATCGGCTTGCTCGATGTGCAACATGCGAAGGGACAATCTCATCTATCCGTACTCATCTCCAGTCGCTTTGAGCAGCAGCCCGACGCGGCGGGCGACCTTTTCCGCCATGTGAAGGTAAAAGCCGAAACTCACGATATATCCGATTTTATTTATCATGAGCTCTCGGATGTCCAGAATTCGGCTTCCTGGACCAATCCCAGCCTAGCCAGAAGCTTACAGCGTAACCCGAAAAGGCTGGAAGAGATCACGAATGAGTGTACAAGTCAGGCATGCAACACGTGAGTTACTTCCTGAGCTTATCTTGTCACTTAGCTCATATCTTCATAGATTCCTTTTAGCTCACCTACACATCATAACGCTAAAGTCACAACTGTCCGTCAAATCATTAGCAAAGGCTGTTCGTAACTTGCCGCCCTCCCTGGATACTGCGGTTAACGATGCTTTGATTAGAATCAAGGAGCAAACCCCCTTGTTACAAGATCTGGGCTTGAGGGTTCTCGTATGGCTATCAAGTGTCAGGCGGCCCCTCACCCTTGTTGAATTACAGCACGCAATTGGAACCGACGAGGGAGATATTGAATGGAATGACGACGGCCTCATCCCTGCTGATATTCTTCTCAGCAGTTGCGCCGGATTAGCAGAGATCGACCATCGAACCAATATAATCGCCCTAGTGCATGTCTCCATTAAAGAAATTTTAGACATGCACCACCCAGACCTACTAGCGAATAAGGACTTGATGATTTCAAAAATATGTCTCACGTATTTAAACTTCTCCGAGTTCAGGTCTGAGCAACATCCCAACCATGATCGAATCGCGGAGTGGGAGTATAACCGGCCATTCCTCGCCTATGCTGCTCAAAACTGGGGTATCCACGCGAAAGTGGCACCGGAACCTGCTGCTTTGTCCAACATTATTCGGACACTCCGAAACGAAAGTATTGCGGGGACATGTTTCTCCATGATGTATGGGACAACCTGGAACACAGTTGATTCGTGTCCACAAAACGTTTCTAGGTGTCACCTCGCTGCTTTCTTTGGCCTGAACAGAACTTTAAGCACACTCTTGGATTCCGGGATTAACGTTGATATCTACGATGAATATAAAAGAACACCATTATATATGGCAGCATCCAGAGGACACACCGATTCTGTCAAATTGTTACTTTCACGCAAGGCTACCGTGAGTGGACGTCACGGGCCTGGGTCAGACTGCGATGATTCGGGAATGCCTTTGAGGTGGTGGATGCCACCTTGGGCTCGAGATGACTGGAGGGGCTCTGCGATAGAAGCTGCAGCAGAAATGGGATACAAAAGTATTGTGGAAATACTGACCGACTCTGGCGCTAGTCTAAGTCACTCTTCTGGTATCCACGGAAGCCCACTGGAGGCGGCTGTGTTTAACGGGCATGTTGACCTTGTCTCATGGATTCTTCAGAGAACTTACGTCAAGAGGACGACATTGAGCGCATCCATCTACAATGGGAGCCCTGCGTTGTTGGGAATACTCATTGAGAGAATTCTCAGTGACAAAATGCTAAGCACTAAGAATGAGATACCAGGAGTAGGTGACAAAGCAGGCATCGACCAAGTCAAGCCATGGGACATGGCTGCTCCAGACGATTTCGTCAAGGCACTCTACTCCGCAGCCTTGTTAAATCGTATAGAATGCGCGAAACTCCTCTTAACGCATAAAGTCAATCCGAGTTCATGGACTCATGGAACATATCGGACACCCATTCAGGCAGCAGCCTCACAAAACCATATTGAGTTGGTAAAATTATTCATCGAAAACGGAGCCGACATCAATAAAAGTGCACTAGAGCATATATCTGTATTCGATAAATACGCCCATATCAGGATATTTAACGGACTAGACCATTTCGAAGGTTCCGAGAGCTTCGTGGAGTCAAAGATTACCAACCAAAGTTTCCCAGATACAATCCATGCCTCATTAGAAGGCTACAGCATTGATGAAAGCGAAATTTCATTCTACAAGACCCAAAAAGCGTTCACTGGGGATCACGACGAAGGATTGAATCTATCACATTACGGCTTGCCTACACCGCTTACGTTCAATGCCGCTGTACTGGGTGAATACTCTCCTGATAAACATGGATCCGCACTTCAAGCTGCAGCCTTCTCCGGTCACGATGAGATGGTCGGCTTGCTCATTAAATCTGGTGCAGAGGTCAATTTTTATGGTGGTTGGTATGGTACAGCCTTGCAGGCTGCTGCTGTTGGGGGAAATCTTGCTGTTGTTAAACGACTCATTGCTCAAGGGGCACACATTAATACCCTAACTGGGTTCCATGGGAACCCCTTGAGTGCGGCAGCGTCAAGAGGGCATCTAGATATCGTTAACTATCTTCTTAGCAAGGGCGCTGCGCCCAATGCAAGAGGAGGAGAGTATGGATTTGCGCTTACAGCTGCTTCTCGAAATGGGAGTCCACTAATCGTTCGTGCTCTCCTCGCAGCTGGAGCAGAGCCGAATTGTCACGGCGGCAGATACGGCCACGCAGCTCAAGCAGCTTGCATTGGCGTTCCGTGGGCAACCTTCAAAGAACTTAGCACGAGCTTCGCTCAAAAGGAGTGGCAAGCGAGGAGAGTACCTTGCGAGCTCGAAGACTTTTTCCAGTCTATGCGCGATAGTAATCACTTTTCGAATCTGAGGACAAAGGCAGTATATGGACATATGTTGCAGAGGGCAGCTGGAGGGAGTTTTGGAAACTCAGAGGATATGTTTAGCGATCGCTTCCACTATGGTGATGGAGAAAAGCGAGTAAACGAAGCACTGCAGCATGCAGCTGAAAGTTACGATGATCAATTGGAAGTCCTCCGAATATTGTTGGAGCACAAAGCTTTTGTCAACGCATATGGAGGGGAATTTGGGACAGCATTCATTGCAGCATGTACGGCTGGGCGACCGAAATTATGCAGGCTGCTTCTCGATAATGGAGCGGACCCGAACATCACCCGATATCGTCACCACAGAATGTCGTCTAGAAGAACGGTACTTGGGGCTGCGCTTTCTCGGGGTCATCATGAAATTGTTTCTATGATGATGCAATCAGAGATACTGAGAGTTCAAAACCAACTTGAAGAAGAGGACCTTCTCTGCATTGCCGCAGAGTCATGTTCTGAAAGCATTGACTTATTGGTGGAGAATGGTGCAAATGTTAACGATGTGGCCAAAAATGGATCTATGCCGCTCCACGTCGCAGTGAAGAATGGAAATATAGAAGGCGCTCGCAAACTCATTGCCTCAGGTGCCGATGTTAACGCGGTTCAGTTGAACTATTGGAAAAATTCTCCATTGGAGGCCATCCATAATTTTGACAACCCAGCATTAGTTCGTCTCCTCATTGAGGCAGGGGCATCAACATTATCAATAACGCACGCTATGCGGACTTTGATGATGACACATGGATTCACTTCGGGATCCGACACTGCATATCTCGAGTCACTAAAGCTACTACTCGATCATGGAGCCGATGTCGCATTTGGCAAACAATGGCATCCACTCGATGCTGAGAACAAACCGAGCGGAACTTACAAGAGCCGGGAATACAATATCTTCATTCTTGCAATCTGGCATGGGAAACGAAATAGAGCGGTCTTCAAAATGCTCTTTGATCAAGTGGATGAGGAAGTCCTAGGACGAAACATTTTATGGCACTGTGCGCGTCTTAATGATTTGGAGCTTGTTTCGATGTTTCTAGAATTCGGGGTCATGCCCACCGTAGAATTGATCCAGGATGTTGAGAAGCGCAGGAAGAAAGTAGTGGATGCTGATGAAGTTAGAGGGGATTTCCTGCGCCCTCGCTCTCCCGAGGAGATAGAACGACAAGGTAAAGAGATATTGTTGCTTCTTAAAGCGAAGCTGGGGGAGAGAGGCGGCGAAGAAAGTCTCTACAGATGAACAGCTATTGAAGAGTGATAGGGTTTAGAGGGTTGAGAAGCCATGTAGTTCCCATTTAGGTAAAGTTTCATGTTGCGGCAGTCCAACTCAAGCTTAAAGTCGCCGCCTTTGCCAAGTATCTTGCAACGATATTCTCGTCAGCATTCTTCGAAATGATCGGGAGACGTGTTGTCAGTTCCATGATCGAATGCGTTCCCACACCTTATAGGTTGTGCATAACCCGCCCAGCAAGTTTCAAGCACGGAAGTCAAACCTGTTCTTGTTACAAGGTTCTTATGCCCTGCGATATGCTCCGAAGAATATACAGTTAGCTCTCTACAACTTCCTTTATATGTTTAAGTGCGTAGTACGATTTGCTATCTTAGAAGCTAAGCTACACTATTCCGGCTAACCTCAGCGTTTGAGCTTGACCTAGCTAGCGGCTCGGTCAGAGGCATATATCCAGTCGGCAACCGATATATTAAATCGCTCTAATGCGGTTTCTACCCAGGCTCCTACACTCCTAACAACCCTCTCGCTGAGCGTAGTAAACAACAGACCATCTCAGAAACCAGAAACATCACTTTCACATTTCAAGGAAATCCCCAACCCTCAGATTACCTTCTGATCTCGCTACAATAGTAACTAGAGTTGCAACTAAACCCATTAGACTTCAATAACAACTGTCTATTATTGCCATTATCGCACTTAAACACCTAATAATTGACCTCGCCTGTGCCCACTTAAAGATCGTCCGGCGAATTTCCCGTACCGGTCTGAATGTGACTGGTAAAGACGTTTCCCTCTCCAATCAGTGCACCCCCGGACAGTTCTGCTAACAGTTATGGGGTGCACAGGCGTTACAATAGCAACTGCATTTGGCTGTTCGCCATTTTGCGACTTCACCCAGTCCGCGTAGAAGACGATAGTACTATAGTCGTAATTGTCCCGCTGCTGACGAGATGCACGACCTCACTTGTGTGTCATGAGTTGAGTGCGAATATTTTATTGAGAGGATTGAGGTAAAGGTGGATTTGAGAATGAGAGCATGATTGAAAGTCTTGAAAGTTAATGCTAAGATAGCGTATGTCGTGAACGAGATCCTGCGACAGTCACCTCCGAGGAAAGGCCCCGGGCCTTTTTGTATGTGAGCCGACATCACTGGAGAGATAAATTATGGCTCGTTTGGATTAAGTGGAGTCTGTTTAAGTGCGCCTTGCATCATCCTTCGTGATTCTCAGGGTGGTCTAACCAGAACAATCAGGGGAATTCACGTCGGACATATTTCATAAAGATTTGAATCCTTACCTAGCGCAAGGCCATGAGATGAATACATATTTCAGCAGAAAGAAAAATGTCGTCGCCAACAAGCCTATGATGAATGGCCGAAGTACAAACGTCGATAAAGTATGAGTGTGAGAAAAACCTTCGTGAGAGGTCACCATGACGTTTGAGTGTCAAAATCGCACTTCAAACAAAGTATGATCGGAGACTGCAGTACTCTAGCGAGAAGAAATTACCTACCAATATTGCATGGAGGATATCCGGAAGAATTTATCGAAGGCTGTATCCGTTGGTGTGCGAATCCACGCCTAGCTCCGTGGGGGAAGAGTCCTGTAAAACAAAGAACGGTGAGCGAAACACCGATGGTAAATAGAAAGAAGAACGGTCGACGAGAAGATGACTCAACGTACTAACGGCAAACGGCAAGTCTATCGAGGGATGGTCCGCGGAGGCGAGCCGGTGAGAACATGATCGGATAGACGGAGATTCATCGGATATGTAACCTGAGGCGGGTAGGGGCCTGGAAGCCTGGACAGATGGATTGGAGCTGTGAAGAGATGATTGTTGACGTAGTTCAAACTAGTACCACAGATTTGGACTACCTCGTCAAGGCGTGAAAGGAACGCCGACACCGAGCCGCTAGCAACATGGAGATGGGTTGGAGGTTCCTGTTCAGCTCGTTTCATTTGCATGACGCAAGCATGCACGCTGTTATGCAATATTGATTGAACCTACATTATGAACCTACATTAGGAACCTACAGAGTATGAGTCTTCAGATCTCTGCAAAAACACATGGTGGTACACTTTACTTCCTATCACCCCTGATTGCCCTTCCTTGCCAACAATAATATTGCATGTGTCTTTGCGCAAGAGTCGCAACCTCACGTGTATCTCCATCACCACACTTCCCCACACTTCACATGACTCCTTGTCCCTCCTGCCTCCGCTAAGTGCATCCCTCGTTCTATTCTAGTCCCTAGAAAACCAAATCCTAATCCCACATGCACGTGTTTATCTCCTGTAGACTCTTCCGAGATCTACGTGCACTGCAGAACCGGAGTCTTGGTCCGACAACCGAAGTAGAGTCTTTGGTTGGAGAAGGGCCGATAGACAGGTATGAGAGCAAAAAACTAACGGATGGCGGCATCTCTTCCTGTGCCGCCCGGGAATCAAGATAACAGCGACAGAGGCAGAAACAGTGCCTTGTGGGGCCGGGCCGGGTCAGATAGTGTGTAGGCTAGCATCTGGATATGCTGATTTAGGGACAGAACAAAAGTTACTGTCTACTACTTTAAAGCAAATCTTAGAGGGAAATGACGACACAAGATCGAATCACTGTATCCGTAGTAAAATGTGTGTTGGATAGGATAGCTTGCAAAAGCTCGGGTTACCCTCAATCCCCTTGCATTTCATCTTCTCGACCTAGGATAGATCTGGTGGGCATTGCATTGGTGGATGTGTCGAGGATCAAGTTATCCCACATACGGACAATCACGTCCATTTGCTTGTTTGTCATGTCTGTGGCACTCTTTCCGATATCTGCGACATACTGACTGCTCACGATATTCGCCGCGTTCTTCGTCCATTCCTCAGTTTGATAACAGCTCAGTGTATTCGTTGTCTCGGTCGGCAAAGCAATCCCCATGGTCTGGCAAGATTGTGTGAGGAGTCGGAAGAGCGGTTGAGAGTAGAACACGTAATTCGACAAAGTACTGAGCGCTTTGAGGCAACTTAGAAGACCTCGGAGGGGCTCACTATTTTCGACGGAATGCCGCGTCGCATGCTCCTGCGCAAGCTCTTCAAGACAGCCAAAGCTTGTAACTGTGATTCCGTGGAGGATGTATGGTATAGCATTCGACCAACCATGGCGCAATTCGTGGAGCATGATAAGGCGGCGAAGCGCTCTCATTGAAGAAGAGGCAATATCACGAGCGCTAGTATGGGATCCTTTAACTCGATCGAGGATGTCTTCGCGGGCGAGAAACGGCTGAACAAGTCGATTGACAAATACGTTGTACTGTATACTAGATTCCATGAGTGACCCTCCCTTTGCGGCTGGGATAAAGCTTACGCGGCAAGTATATTCTCTGGTGTTGGATTACTGATGGGATTAAGACATTCCGGTCGAGCATCCCACCATGACTGGAGCCGAAGGTAAAAATTCTCAGTCCACTCAGGTCTTGAGGCAATATCAGTGTATATTCTGTGTGGCTCAGGGTGCCTAATTGTGGATTCGAGCATTAGAACGTGGCGGCCGCATTCGGATCGGAATAGCACTGGAGAATACAGTTAGTAGCTTCGTCAGCTTTCTTTGAAATCCCTTACCTTGGGAGTTTACGGCGTCCTCATAGGGCAGAGGGAGCGGCGGCTGAGACTTGATGATGATAGGAAATGCATACGTGAAAGACATGGATCTTAAAAAATTAGCTTCGCCCGTCTATTCAAAGGAAAGCCTACAGTTGAAAATTGAACAGGGCCCAGGCAGTGACCGTGCGTGCTCGCTCCAACTTCTCCAGAGGAACTTCTTGCGGCTTTTGCGCAGAAGTCGTCTCTGACAGTGTAAAAAGGCCGAGATCCTGCGCGATACGACAAGCCTCGACAAGGAAGGTGTAACCGACCTTATCTCTCCCGTGCTTCCCAAGAACTACAAAGAGGAGTAAGGCAGACTGTAGCCTAGGTAGGCTGTCTTGCCCTTCTTCAAGTTCCCAAAGCCGTCTCGCTTCTCGGTAGAACAGGGTGAGCACGTTGTCGGCAAACGGCTTTGCTCTGTCATTGACTAGCGAGGACTGGAACTAACCCACAAGGGTTAGATGTGCTTTTAGATCAAGGAGGGAGGTTTATGACAGTTGCAGAGAACTTACGAGGATGAGGCGCACTTACACTTGCGGAAGCTAGCAGAGCATGTACGAGGAGCCTGGAGCAGAAGTCTGTTCGTCCACTGACCATGTCATCGAGAAAGAGGTCCCAGTCCAAGAAGTGGTAATACACGTATTCCCAGGTGTACCAAGCAGACATCAGGTGAACCAATAGATTGGAGTCATCCGTGATTGTAGTCCAATGCCTTACTGATGCGATCCTCGGATCGATCAATTCGGGTGGGCTTGAAGAAGTTGGTTTCTGCAATATAGCTTCTATGGAGGTAACTGGGGGAAAAGTACCCTGACTGTCTGAGCTGAGGCTGGTCAAATGCTGACACTGGGGGAGGTGAGTGGCCAAACTCACCGAGCAGATACATCAGCATCCGATGCATGTCGCCGACGTTGACTTGCTGGTCCATCTGATCTCATCGGCAGCAAATCATTGGAGAACGATGGAAGACTTCCAGAAAAGGAATCAATCACAGCGCAGGTCGCATCTAATGCCATGCGTATGGGAGGCAAGGTCAGCTGCTCCGAGTGGCCTCGCGGAGATTGCATAAGCGAGGGTTGGAGGATGAGATTAGGATCACCGTGCCGGACGAAATCGGCTAATTCTTGGATCCTTTGCGACGGAGTGGTGTCGGATGAATTGGCTCGAATTCGTCTCAAAACCTGCTGAGCTTCATGCTCGGGGCGCAGGCGAAGACAGTCATATATTTGGCGTAGGTTCGAGAGCTCGCTCTGCATCTCTTCATTCTTCCGCTTCATAGCCTGCGACGGCTTCTCGTTGGGACCGAGCTCATAGACACATTCTGTCACCTTCTGCGCACAGCAAGTGCATACAGGGCGTGATCCATCGCACTACATTACGTCAGAATAGTACCAAAGTCTAATTGCATTAAGCACTTGCCTTAGACTTTCTTTTGCGGCACGCAACACAGGCTCCCAATGTGACTGTTCGTTTTGGTTTCTGAATCAGTGCGGGTCTAATTTGCGGCTGGGGTGTCTGCTCCTGGTCTATGGGGGCAGGTTGGAGAGGGCGAAAGTTTGCCATAGGAAAGAGTAGTGGTTATGTCGTGAAGCTTTTGAAGAGTGGGCATTACTACATTATGATACCCAAAAGGTAAGAGACGTGGCACGAGTCAGTCGCAGGGAATACTTTTGTAGGGAATGTATCGGATGGCGTATGATAATAATATGAAGCAGCCTGGTCATGATGTGGTTTGCAGATGGGTAAGATTTTCGGTGGGGAAGCATGGCATGCAGAGCGACAGGCTGCTGGGTAGGTAACTTTACCTTTAAGGGGTTTTAGGGCCGAAGCCATCGGGCTCATGACAGCGGACAGTTCGGAGTGCGGCTCGTGGCCTTCCCGAGGTGGAAAAGCTAGCAGGCAAACCCCTGATGCACATCAGAACCAGATTGGTTGCCCCGCTGCCCGTCAGTGGACCTCGCCGCTCCGCCCCCACGAAATGTCCCAACCCAACATCTCTTTGATTTCCGTGCACTTATCCCATTTGACAGTGTAGCCAACATCGCTCCGGAGCATGCTCCGGCTGCATTGGCAGCTCCTCCCATGCGACCCACAAGCTCGACGGCCCTGCACCGTTTGCAACAGATCTGTCAGTTTGGGTTCCGCTGGGTCCCAATCGACTACACTGGCACGATTGATCTGATTACGGTTACAAGTAGCTGAAGCATTGCTGGATTCGAAGTTGTCGGTTCCTGAAGTCCATCAACTTGAATGCTGGTCAGACTAGTGGGCGAGATGTCCCCAGAACTTACACACTTGATCGAACTATGATTGACAATTGTACATGAATCGTTAAAGTCATTTTCTGTATCCTGGTTGCTGCGCAGGCGGGAAGGTTTCCGTATTGTCGGGTTCAGTTATTCTCAACAGCCCTAGTAGAAACATCATATTCAGACGCGGGAAGTGTGGCGAACGTCGCATATTCTTCCGAGGACCAAAGATCTCCGGTGACCCGGGGGTGGGAAAGGAAAGGCTTAGTCAGGTAATAAGTGTTCATGGCTGCACGAGTAGGGAGAAATTCGAGGTCGACAAATTATTTAATCGACTTTCATGCTACTTCTTCTTTAGTCCACATCACTTTCCCCTGCTTTCCGCCGTCAACATTGATTATCTGTCCGTGAATATGACCCGAGAGATTCTCGCTTGCAAGAAACACAATCGCCTTTGCTACAGCCTCGAGCGGCACTGGCTTGCATAGGGCGGTCTATAACAGAGTTAGTAGGACCCGCGAGCGCTTTTAAGGGCAATTGGTAACATGGTATGTAGAGGATGGTGGAAAGTTAGAGGATCAGGAAAGTTAGATCTACCGTTGCTTGGGCCTCCAGCCAATACTGCTCAGGATTGTCCTTGCACTCAATTGTCCAGCGGGCCGTGTCCACGCTTCCTGGAGCCACACAGTTCACACGGGCGGACTCCCACACTCTCACCGCCTCAGCTCTCAGGCTCATTAGCAGGCCGCCCTGGACCGCACTTTTTGCCAGACTGTACTCGGCATTCAGTCTCTCGCCGAAGTGGCCGCTCTCGCTGCCGATGATGATCAATCCGATATTGCCGAGGGGTTTGCGGTCTTGTTTCGCGCGTTGCAGACCCCGGAGCCACTCTCTTGCCGTGAGCCAGGTACCTGCGACGTTTACGTCGAGTACGCGTTTCAATTGCGTAAATGACGCGTCGGTGAAGGCGGAGTGCTGTAGAACAGAGAGGTCGAGGGATGCTAAAGCAACGCAGACCTCGACAGGCCCATGTGCATCCGTCGCCGTCTTGAATGCCTCTTGCACAGATTCCTCGGAGGAGATATCACAATGTATGGTGGTGCAAGGAGCGTGCGGCAGCGATTCGGCATCCGAGAGGGGGTTGATATTGACAACAGGGGACGAGTAACTAACATCGAGCGATGATACATGTGAACCAGCGGCGACGAAGTGATCAACCACGACACGACCTATCAGGCCGGCCCCACCCGTGATCAGGACATGTGTGTCTTTCAGACCAAGGTCAAGGGAGGGGGGAGCCATTGTTTCGGCCTAGGGCATGAGGTCAATGAAAGCTGCCGGGGAGCCTTCGATGAGAGGCGGGGTTTGGCGGGGCACTCAGCCTACCGAGGATGATCAGAGGTTGCTCTAAATGTGAGTACGAACGTCAGGGTCAAGTCCAAGACATAATTAATGGCTGAACATAAACGCTAGGACTCTAGCCGTTTAGACATGCGGCACATTAAATATACTAGTCGTCTAGCTAGTCTAGAGAAGAAATCAAAGCAGGATAGTGCTCCTCGGATGCTAATCGCAGGCTTTAATCTAAGACTTCGCCCACCTGCATGCTAACCATCTTATCTCCAAGTTAAACTTTTGGTGATACAATACGAATCCTACGAACAGCTCGGACCAGGTCAGACGGCGGCAGCCTGTTAATCACGCATGGACGAGGGTTGGAACTTTATCACTTTGCTGCTTTCTTCGCATTCGCGGTCCCTCTCTGCAGCTTCCGAATGAACTGATTCTTGATGCCTTTCTGCTTTAGCTCCCTGTTACGGCTCTTGTTGTACTCAATGTAAGCCATGTCTTGGCCGCCAGACAACTCCGACAACGTGCCCGCCATCCTCCTCGCCCCATTCTTTTTCCTGGCTTTTCCACCTGTAGAGGCGAATTTGGTTCCAAACATATCCCCAGCAATCCTTTCCGATTCGGCATCCGTATCTTTAGCGAGAAGAACGTCCATGAGGAGCTCTCGCCGGTCTTGAGGTGTGTAGAACGCCAGGTCAGAACGTTGGTCTAACCCTTCGAGCCGGGTAATGACTTTGAAGGCATAGCCTTGGTCAACCAAGAACGCTTGACGTTTTGAAGAGTAGTACATCTCATCAGTGTCCTTAGACACAAGGGAGTAGAAGAAAGCGTTGAAACCCTCATCGTTTCTTCGCTTTGCTCGGAGAATTCTGCCGAGACGTTGTGCCTCTTGACGGCGGGATCCGTAGTGCGAAGAAATCTGAATTAAGCAAGTTGCCTCGGGCAAGTCCAGGCTGGTATCGCCAATTTTGGAGAGAAAGATGGTGTTTACCATATCATTGTGCTGGAAATTCTCTAGGATACGAAGACGCTCGGCCTGTGGCGTATCTCCGTAAATGTATGCCTTATTTAGCTTTCGAGCGTACTTCTCTAAAGCATAAACATTATCGGAGAAAACGATGATCTTGTCCCCCCGGCGCTCGTGGTAGTCGATGAGAAACTGGCATGCTTGGAATTTCCTGGGGTTCATGATTGCAAGTAAAGCCCTCTTTTGTACGGTGGAAGGCTTCAGCCACTCGCTATAGAATTCGGGTGTCATCTGGCACCACACTTCCGCACACTGCACTTTGGCAATATGGCCTTGCTCGGAAAGCTCCTGCCAGTTTGCTTCATACAGCTTTGGGCCAATCAAGAAATTGAGATCCTCAATCTTATCATCTTCTCGGAGTAGAGTAGCGGTCAACCCGAGCTTCGAATGTGACGCAATAGAGTACGTGACCTTCTTAAAGATGTTCGCGGGCACGACGTGCACTTCGTCGGCGATGAGCAATCCCCATTCGCGGGACCGAAGGAATTCCATAACTTTCTCCGAGTCATACGACCTGTTTCGGGTAGATGTAATCATGGTATATGTGCTGATAATAATTCCTGCGTTGCGAGGAAATCGATTCTTGCTTTCCGACGTGAATACAGCGATGTCCTCGGGGTTGATGTTGGACCATTTGAGAAACTCGGCCCTCCACTGAACGACAGACATGGCGCTCGTACAAAGAACAATGACAGACTTCTTTACGCCGCAAGCTGCGGTAATACCAACCAGAGTCTTTCCTGCACCACAGGGAAGGACAATGATGCCCGATCGGGCCCGCGAATTTGAAAACATCTTGCTTAGAGCCTTCTCCTGATAGTATCGGATCTGGGCATGAGGTCTCAGATCTATATCCAGGTTCGCGTTAACTTCATCGTTATTGAAATCGTATTCTTCTGTGAGTGGTAGCCCGATGTCCTGGCATTGCTTGACAACCCTCTCCCTTTCCTCACTTTTGATCTGAAATGAGTGGACGTGGGCAGCCTCCTCCTCGTCGTCGTCCTCATCTCGAAGGGAAGCAATCATGTCACTCGGTTTCTGAGGGTCTAAGGTGGATTGGGCAATCTGATTGGCTCCAGCTGCCATTTTCGTGCCTGGGATAGCCATCGCTCCAATCTTAGGAGCAGCCTCCTTTATCAAACCATTGGTGGAGTCTGCCCTACACTCTGCGATGACTGGATCCTGGAGGAGCTTCTCCAGGATAGCTGGGTCATCACTCTCAATGTATGACAGGGTCTTCTTGAGCACGATCTTTGCTTTCCCAAACGAAGACGTCGATTTCTCGATGAAGGCAGTGACTGAAGGGGACAGAGGGGTCTTGGAATACCGGCCCAGCTTTTCGATAATTTCCTTACTCGAGTGGCCGACAGAGACGGCGGCAAACAGACTGTGGGCAGTCAGAGTGTACTCGTGCATTTTGGACACGCGCGACTGAGGCTCAGCAATGTTAATTAAGAAATCTTGCGCTTCATCAAATATGGGGCTGAAGGACTCGAGGATGATGCGTCCAGCGTCGTCAATCCAGAGTGGCCTGTTGCGGTGGTCCCGCTTCAGCTCGACGTCAAATTGATCGCATTTCTTAAAGAGAAATGAAGCGGCGTTGGACCCGCGAGCCGCCCGGGCCTGCTGGGCCATGGCCTTCACATCGAAGCTATCCCGCAGCCTGTCGAACGTCTCGCGATCGCTGAGGCTGAGGTTCTCTTCTTCCTGCGAGTCAAACTCATCGCTGTCGAGGGCCGCCTGGGCCTTTCGCTTCGGGGGCATGCCGACGCTCCCAGGACAATACGTTCAGCAGCACGCGATGTGAGATGTAGACTTCAGGAGGAGGGTCCTGTGGCCTGGGGAAGCAGGTCGGAGGAGGGCACGTTCGAGATGGTGCTGCCGTGGTGAGTCTTTGGGGAAGGAAGGATGAAGGAGGCCCAGGGCAGGCACGATGGCTTGATAAGCTAGCAAAACTTGACTCAGCCGCCTCGGCTCCTGGCGCCACCTTTTTTGGGTCGCAGCCGCGCGGAAATCGCGCTGGCATGTGACTGCACAGCCACGTTTGTCCTGTTTGCTCTCGCCCGCTGTCTCGACCGCCTTGCAACCACGAACTGCCATATCCAACAACACAACCATGAGCGCGTAACGTGACATGCATTCCGATGGGCGCCTCCGACTCCAAACTCACCTTCAAACAAGGCATATTTCGCCTATCCGAGCCCAAACAAATCCCCGCTGACGATCCATACTGGACAGGTGTAAGCCAGCCTTTGTTAGGCTCTATGAACACTGCTAACCTGCCATGCACAGTTTTGGGAGCTCCCAGAGTCAGCCGAGGATGTCTTCTCACTGTTTTCGCCGTCCGACATCCGCCGTACCAGGGACAACAATTTGCCCAACCTAGAGACTCTTATCCTCGCTGTAACCTCGCGGCTCTGCGTCCTCCGCAACCACCCCTCCTTCCCCGACCCTGAGCTCGCACCCGAGCGAGACGCCCTTAACTGCATTCGGGTGCTCACCCGCCTCCTCCCTTTTATCTATGAAGCGGACCACCTAGACTCATGGGAGAACACGTTCTTCTGGGGTGCGCGGCGCAAACGAAGCCGACGTGGACAGATAACGAGGACCGAGGTCATTTTCGACGAGGCAGATCCAGAGCAGACTCCCACTGAAGGCGAGCCTGAGTTTGAAAAAGCAAAGTCACTTGCGGAAGAACTTATCGACACCCTAATAGACCTGCTCTTCTTCTCTAACTTTACATTGCCCAAAGCCCCAGCCGGCAAGAACAAGGTCACGTACGCAATATGGCAGAGTGGCGTGGGGTGCAACACTCCTGTCGCCTCGTCAAAGGAATTTGAGAACAACAGAACCGAGATATTGCGCTTGCTGCTGACCTTCGCCAGCAAATCCATGTACATGTCGGCCAGTGTCTTGCCAGTTAAAGGCGTCACGGCAATAACGTACATGGCAACTTGCCCTGACAAGCAAGTAGTGCTATCCGTTCTGTGTTCGCTTCTGAACACAGTAAGATCTCCCTTCATTCCCTTCAGTCCTGACATACTGAAGTCCAATAGACGCTAAAGTACAACCCCGCATCCTGGCGAGTGCCCTACGACCACGTCGTGTTCAAAGACTCGAAGCAGGTCCTGGTCACATACTGCCTACAGCTTCTTCTAGTTCTTGTCCTCTATCCAATACCTGAACCAGGGAATGGGCCTCCTCCCAAGAATTTCTTCCGTCACTTCCTCGGACGTCTGCACCGTCCCCAAGACTTCCAGTTCTTAGTCGACGGCATGACGAGGATACTGAACCAGCCTGTAAGCTAGTCTTCCCTCAGCTCAAATCAAGGCTAACGTGCTCTAGCTCCAAGCAACGTCGACTTACCTCCCAGGAAGCCACAAGTCGTTGACCTGGGCTCCAGAAATGATAATGCTGTTCTGGGAGGCCCTTCAATGCAACAAACGATTCCGCTCGTTCATCATCGACACTGACCGGGCCCATGATTTTGTAGTCCTTGTGCTTTATTATGCAATTGATCAACGCAACGACCCCACTAAACAAGGGCTCATTCGGATGTGCATATTTGTGCTTCAGACTCTAAGTGTTGAACCTCACTTTGGGAAGAGTCTAAACAAAACCTTTGAAGGGCAAGAGACACTGCCCGCAAGTATCCGAATCCCTAATTTTCATGGAACCTATGCCGACTACTTAATTACGGTGAGTAGCTACCTTTCTAGTGGCTTCATGCGATCGTGACTAATACCCTCCAGTCGATTTATACCCTACTAACTACTAGCAAAGGCAAACTCGATGCAATATACCCTGCACTGCTAGCCATCATCAATAATATAGCTGCATACGTCCAAAATCTTGGCCGTGCTCCGAGCTCGAAGTTACTCCAGCTATTTGCCTCGATGTCCTCGCCTAGCTTCTTATTCGCCAATGAGAACAACCACACCCTTCTACGATCGCTACTAGAGGCTCTAAATACTATGGTTGAACACCAATATCAGAGTAAGACCGTCTCGAAATCTGTTTCGACTGACCGTTGACCACTTGTCAGTAAATCCGAACCTTGTGTATGCGATAGTACGGTCACGGAAGAGGTTTCAGGCCCTGAGAGACTTCACCCTAGAGAGCGGACAAGAACAAATTGAACGTCAGAACCAGTTGAGAAAAGAGCAAGGTGCAGAGCTCCGTAGGGCAGACTCTATCGATAGCTTGAGAAGCCCAACCGTCTCTCGAACACCAACGTTGAGCAACGTACCAGAAGAAAATAGCGCATTTGCGATTGGAGATGATGAAGACTCTGATGCCGAGAGTCATCCCCAAGAACCACCACGATCTCCCATGCACTCACCGTCCGGGGCTTCAAGAAGCGCATCTGTAGCCTCGTCCGTTGATGATTCAGTTCCCCTTCAATTACGGGGCATGTCCGAAAAAGCCCGAGGTAAAATGCCAGTAGGACAGCCTGCATTTTCTCGGCAGAATAGCACTACGAGCCTTATCAGCGTTGCGACGCCCATAGTAGGCGCAAACGAGTTCTTCACGCCATCTGCAGCATGGGTCAGTAGCCCTCTTTAGCTCATAGACTTTCGCTGACGTTGCAAGTAGATTGAGAGCTGGCTGCCTGAATTGCCACTTCACACCATCCTAACATTGATCTCAGAGCTTGCCTCCAAGATGCCTAGCCCAGGGGGTACAGATGACACTACAGCAGCTCTGACTGCGATTCGCGAGACAGAAGTTCGTGGCATTGAGCCCTCACCAGTACGGGTCCACCTGTTCGAATGGTCACCCTTGTCACTAGGGTGGTACGAGTCTCTGCTCTGGGGTTTCATCTTCGCGGGCGAGATGCTCGTATCCAAAGGGACAGCTGGAGTGTGGAACAACACTAGCATAAGACTGTTCAAGGTCCAAGAGACGGCAGCCCAGACGCCTTCCTTTCTAGCACCTAGAGGCGCTGTGGACGCAGTGGGAAGTAACCTCGTCCAACGAATTGGAAGTCTTAATCTTCGAGGAGCGACCACTCAGCCAAGCCAGAGAGGTACGACGAACAGTGGCAATCCCGCGCCGCCTACAGTAAGGGATGTGTAGCGCGGACATCAAACGGGGTCCCCGATTGGCCACGCTTTTATTTTTTCTTTTCTTTTGGTATCCGGAGATACAGGGCGCTGATTGGTGTGCCTGTTATGCAAGTTAGGCGGTTTAACTTGTTTTGAATGGGGATCTCTGAAGATCAGGCGTGTTAGCCACAAGTGGCGCTGGCACAGCCACGGTGAATTTTGGTGTCAGGTTATATCGAGCCAACGATCAAACAAGGATGAGCTTTCAGACACTCTACACTTCAGCAGCTGTCATGCACCCGACGTAATCGTTCTTATTCTGATCTACGCACTCTTTACTGGGTTATGCTCATGCCCCCCGTTCATTTGGAATCTGATTTGGAATGATAAACCGTGTTTCCTATGCACTGTAACTCGGTGCGAAGGTGAAGGATTTGTACACTCATGTGTTTTTGTACTATCCCGCGATTGTTGCACCATGGCGAATTCTGCGAATTCTGTGAATGGTGTCCAGGAAGGGTTCGAAGCAGTCCAGCCTTACAGCATGCATGTTGGTGGTCACTTCCAACGGTATTGTGCCTTTCATGGTCGCGTGGACTAATTTAGTCAGGTTTCCTCTCGCTACCTCGAACTCACGAGGAAGAAACTTCAGTTGGCAAGACTACCGGGAGAGCCTAAGACTCCTGAGGACCGGAGATGGGAACAAGGGGTACCGAAGGCCTTGCTTGAGCCTCTGCTTGATTACTGGTATGCCATTTCTAAAAAGTTCTGCAGCATTTCCATCAGCAATATTATCTCTCTATGTTGCTCGTACCGCTGTGTTGCCATTAGGTCTTTCTTGCTTCATGCTATCGCGTCGCGCGAAAGACTAGCAGGATTGTAGTAATCCCTCCAGTATGATCCCCAGTTGAGATACACCTTAGTGGCTCTGAGCCGACAGCCTAGTTGCCCACAATCGTATGAAATAACATCATGGAGATGTGCTGGGACCAAACGTCGCGCCGCGGTTGACAGAGCGCGTCCGATATCGCCATACTGCAGTCCTTGAATACGCATGAACTCCTATCTGCGCTAGGAACCACACGGTCGCACAACTTTTTTACTATAGTTCTTGAAGTAATAGCAGACTAACCACATCTTCAGGCTGGAACAATACGACTGGCGCAGTCAAGAAGCGCACTTCAACTCCACACTCCCCCAATTCCGGACCAACGTGCACCTCACAATTACACCATCTCACGCTCCTACACCACCACCGCTCCGTATACATTTCGTCCACAAACGTTCGAAGCATAAGAACGCCATACCGTTGCTGTTCTGTCACACATGGCCATCGTCATTCGTCGAGATACAAAAAATCATCAGCGCCCTTACAGATCCACATAGTCTGCCCAGCTTTGGAGCGGGCGCGCAGCAAGCATTCCATGTTGTGGCCCCTAGTATTCCAGGATTCGGCTTTAGCGATGCGAGCCCGAATGCAGACTTTGGGTTGAAAGAAACCGCAGATGTGTTTCATAAAGTCATGGAGAGGCTTGGGTATGAGCGCTACGTCGTGCATGGGTCAGGATGGTAAGGCCGGATGGGATTGAGAGATTTATGTTCTACTAATATTTGATAGGGGCTTTAACATATGTCGAGCACTGGCTTTAGGTCAACCGCAGAGTTGTCTAGCGATCCATACTTCGAATCCGTCGTTCAAAGAACCAGACTTTAAGCAGAGCCCAATGACTTGCCTGAAGTACCGAATCGCACAGTTGGTGAGAGCAAAGGTAACATTTCTGAGCTTTGGCTATGTCCCAGCTGAGCTCCATATTTCTACACTCACGCCTGTATCAAGAGAATCAGAGTTGCCTTCCGGGCCGTTAGAAACCTTCTCCCTTCAATACACGCTCAGACCACAGACACTATCATACTCCCTATGCGACTCCCCGATCGGACTCCTCGCCTGCATCCTGGACACTATCCATACGCGATCACTACCCACACCTCTGCCGCCTCAGCCTCGCTCACCGTTCCTCTCTCCGGCAGAGATAGAAATGACAGAGGAACGGCCGGGCGTACCAGCCCACGACAACGACGTCCACTCGCCAGCCACCGAACGTCCAGAAATGCCACTCAGTCCGCGCGAAAGCGAACTCCGCGCAATGAACTACTCGTGGTCGCCTACTGAGGTCCTTAACTGGACTATGCTACAATGGCTTCCAGGGCCTGAAGCATCGCTACGATGGCTTCGCCAAGCTTGCCTCGAAACCCATCCCTCCTCTCTTCTCTCAACAACATATTCTCCTATACCCCTAGGCATAAGTTCATTCCTCGCGCGCAATTCTAGTAGCGCGGCAACGTCACCACTGATGTGGGGCTCCGCAACAAGCAACATATCCTGGATCAAACGACATCAACGGCCTGCAGCGCTCCCAGCTTGGGAAGCGCCAGACCTTCTCGTGCTCGACATGCGCGAGTGCTTCGGCAGTTTCCTGGACCGTGGAATTATCGCCAACCTGCCTGGAAGGGAAACATAACAGCTCTTGGAGTAAAATCTGTGGATTACGGATATAGCTATATGGCGCACGTCGTTATGCGCATATAGCTGGGAGGCACAATTAGTTCCCGTCTTTGCATCAGGTTATGCTGTATAATGTGGGAGCCACTGGGGAGACAGGTGCAGAAATTAGTGTTGCCGCTGCTGGTGGTGTTGCTGTGTTGGGAGCGGAGCCGGATCGAGGATTGCGGCTGTGGCTGTAATGCAGCGAGCAATGGAGTGCATGCATGCGGCGAAAGCTTGAGACCAATCCGTTGCGCTGGGTAAGTAGATTGGAGGATTTAGCGTAATATATTGTTGGGCTGGGGATGTATGTGGAGGGATGGGTGCTGCCGGGTACATGTATAATGGTAGACGGGGCTTGTATATGAGGTGTGTTGCTTTTTTTAGGGATCAGGTTGTTAGGGTAAGTAGGCTGTATATTGAAATGGATACATAGGTACATGGGGAAACGGGTGCGGGAATATAGGGCGTTCAGAGAGGAGTCGTCGCAGAAGACCTTTTCCGGTATCCCGTGCTAGCAAAGTGGAATGACAAACATTTGGTTGCTTCTTTCCACTCGTGGAGAACGGGTGACAAAAATCTCGTGGGATGACAAGGCAGGAAGATGCGGTGTGGAGGAACGCATAGAGAAAGAAATTATGCCTGGGTAGGCTGCGGGGGGATATATCGGCAGTAAATAAGAGCGTGGCCCTGACTAAGACGGCCCTAAGGCTGCCTTGGAAGAAGAAGGTGCGGGTGGCTCACAAGGCGGCATGTGCGGATGCATGTGCCAGCCACTGGAGGCGGTTACGTCGTGGCCAGGCAAGCGCGAATTTTGCACCCAACACACCTGCAAAATTCACACACGACACCACAACTCTCCTTCCTATCCACCCACGGCACCGCAAATCCCCCATACCTGTATGTGAGCGCCCTCTGCTCCCCGCAATTATCCCACCCCATCGCTCGCAGCGTGCTCCTCCGCCCGTCAGAGGCCTGCCCGCGCAGCGTTCTGTGCAGCCCGCAGCCCTCAGCTCACCGCACACAGATCTTGAAAAGGCCTCAGCAGCCATTGCCGCCTGCCCCAGACGTTGCTCCCAAATACAACGCAGAATCCACCAAGCTGGCACAACTACTGTCCAACTTCACCCATCCTGCATAGGCTTTGATAGCCCGCAGCCCACCGTCCGCCCGCCTTAGCCGTCTTTCCATGCGTCGCGAGGACCTGGTACGAATCCTATCCAAGCCTGCGAAGTGAGCCGCCTGTTCCTTCCCGTTCGTTCTTGTTCCTTCCTGTTCCTCCCTGTCCCTTCCTGTCCCTTCCCGTTCCTTCTTGTTCCTTCCTGTACTCTTAGTCTCTCCTCCTTTCTTTGCCATGTGCACCCCAGCGTCCCAGACCTGTCCTCTCTACCCCGCCGCTGACCCCAGCCAGGCCCAGATAACACCCCCTACGCTCCACTCTCACCCCCACCCCTTGTACTCCCATACAAGCAGATCTCCTCGTCTGCTGGACCCGATACTTTCCCAGGGTATCGGAATCTAGTCGCTCGAGGACGCGAGTAACTGACACCATTTCTCGGCGAAAAGCCTCGTTTATTCCCCTCTCTGCCCGACCTCCCTAACGCCCTTCACGGACGTTGCCCATACCCCTTCGCCCCTGCAGCTGGCAAACGCCAGCCCTCAAGCTCCTCGCCACCCGTGGGCCTTCTCCTTCAGACGGACACCGCATTGTTCGTCTGGGTGGCAGATTGTGCTTCACCGCCTCACAGCCACACACAACTCCTGATTTGCCAATCCCCCGAACCAATCGTCAAGTCTAGTTAATTGCTGGGTGCTTGCGCGTCAAGACATCAAGAGATGAGCATTACTGAGATCCCCAAGCATTACACAGCGTCCCCATCATCTCATGTTGGAACCCCGCATTTGACTATCAATAAGGAGGCTACAATCGATCTCGATTCCAGCAATGCCTTTGAAGGTGCGTTAAAAAAAAATACAGCTTTCTTAGAAGTACCTGACATTTTGCAGGACCCGAGAAGCTCCTAGAAGTATGGTTCAGTGCCTCAGCCACTGACCTTCCGGGGAAGGCGGGTCCGTACGGTCTCAAAGCCGTGTCCGCTGAGACTTGGAAGGAAATGTTGGACCTCGTTAATTGTAAAGTTTTGTCTACCATTGAGTCCGAGCATGTCGATGCCTATCTACTGTCTGAATCCAGCATGTTCGTCTTCCCCCACAAAGTCGTTCTCAAGACTTGTGGCACCACGACTCTGCTTTGGGGCCTCCCACGCTTGTTGGAGATTGCTGCTCTTAACGCGGGGTTTCCCCATGTAGTTGCTCAGCCTACTCGCGGCATTGCCGCTGCAGCTACCCCGTATCGCGTCTTCTACAGCAGGAAAAATTTCATCTTCCCTGATCAGCAGCGTGGACCCCACCGTAGCTGGCGTGATGAAGTCCGCTACCTTGACCAGCGGTTTCAGGGTGGCAGCGCCTACATGATTGGCAAGATGAACGGAGAGCACTGGTACCTGTACATCACTGGCCCGGACATGCGTATGACTCCCCCTCCCAGCCCGGACAGAGAGTTTCTTGATATCCCGGAGACTGAAACCAAATTTATGAGCCATCCTCAGCGATTACTCCCCGAGCAATCGACAGATGAGGATGAAGATGAGACTTTAGAAATCCTTATGACTGACCTCGATGAGAAGAATGCCCGTCAATTCTATCTCGAGGACGCGAGTGCGGTCGCGGAAGGTCGGTTTTTCCAAAAGGCTCATCTGGCTCGCAAGAATGCTATCAATCAACTCGGTTCCATCCCCGAGGAGAAGTGTGAAAGCCTTGGAGGCTCCACTGTCCTCAACAACCATACCCACTCTGAATCCAGTTTCGATGTCTTCGAGCAGACCTCATCTGATCACTCCGGCTTCAGCTCTGATGACGACGACCTCACTTTTCCAGAGGAATTGACTACCGAAGGTCATTCTCTTGGCAGGGTTGTCTCGGAGACTTGCGGCCTGGCTGATGTCTATCCCACCTCCAAGTACCCCGATGCTCGTGTCGATGCCTACCTCTTCACCCCATGCGGCTTCTCCGCCAATGGCGTCGTCCCCGCTCCTGGTGGCGCCCCCAACGGCTCCAAGAAAGGTTCCGATGCAACGCACTACTTTACCGTCCACGTCACCCCGGAGCCACAATGCTCCTACGCCTCCTTCGAAACCAACGTCCCCGCCCGGCAAACTGGTCGCGAGACTGCCGAGGTCGTCGAGCATGTCGTCACTATTTTCAAACCTGGTCGCTTCAGCGTGACGATATTTGAAGCTAAACCCACTGGCGAAGAAGGCTTTGGCATGGCGGTCAAGAAGAGCGCCAGGATGGAGAGTATTGAGGGGTATAAGAGGGTCGATCGCATTGTGCATGATTTGGATGGGTATGATCTCGTTTTTAGGTACTATGAGCGGGATGATTGGAAGGGTGGAAAGCCGAGGTTGGGAGAGGTGAGGTATTAGAATTTGGTGAGAGGTGGCTAGTTTGGGGATGGTTGGGAAAGGAGGGGTTGGAGGATTGGAGGGTTGATTGGCAGATTGTGAATCGAGTTTGGCCATGGGTTTCAGGTCTGTTTAATTGGGTTGTTTTCTGCGAACCATCATCACGCACTCCTTTGACATGGCTTTCGGGGCGGTGAGGCAGACTGAGTAATGGGTGACTTGATGGCTTGTCGTAGTCCTGTTCATCATCTTTTAAAATGCTACTTGCGTATCCCCTTTTACCCCATGCCTCCCATGCCTTAGTTTCTGACCTGGCAGCCATTTGTTTCTTGACACTCTTATCTGCCTCTCTCTTCCTCCCTTATTTCCCACTTCCCCCTTTCCCTTCTTTCCCTCTTTTACCCCTCCACCCCCTGGGATTCAAACGGCCCAAAACACTCTCATCTCGATCAATATTGGAATCCCATAAATCCAAAGGCCACTGAATATTCCTTGCTCAAAGAATCCAATTGGGCTACTCTCTGCTCAGAACCTTGACTTCCCTCGAAGCTTTTTGGATAACACCTTTTATGCTTGTGCTTTTGTTTGTGTTCGTGCCTGGGATTGGGCGGTGGTGGGTGTGGGGTGTGCCGGAGAGGAGTAGTTGAGAGAGTGCAGTTCGGGAATAGTTTTTTTTTCATTTCAGGGGGGCGTGAGTCCCTCCTTCAACAGCGCCGACAACCTCATCGTACCCTCCAGCCTAAGCATCTCGCAATTCCCACCCATAGTCGCCGTATCTACTTCCGCCACTCCGACCTATCTCCTGCATCCTCCTCCTCGCAATATGGTAGCCCTTTTTAAGCGCTTTCGCGGGGCCTGAGGAGGTGGGGTGCCATTCGGGAGCGGGAAGAGGGCCTCGAGGCTGGCATGAGAGAGGAATTTGATCTGTATGCATTGTGGAGGGATATTAGTGGGCTTGGAGGAAGTCCGGGCTCTGGAGGCGGTGGGTTTGCTAGTAGGGTTGATAGTTGAGAGCTGGTAGTTTTTTTCTATTTTAGATTTAATGTTCGCTGGGTATGATACACTATCAGATCGTTAGGAAAGATATTGGAAGACGACTAAAAGATAATATGATTGAAATTAGACTAGACCTTACACGTTCAAGCGTTTGAGTGCGTAAGAAATGCAGTCTAAAATTCTAGTTCAGGTGTTGGGAACAAGACCCTTAGTCAAAACAATACATGCGAATCTCGAACTCAAACTCTGGGTCGGGATCGGGTCTGCATTGGAGGAGGAGCAGCTGGGAGTGGACTGGGAAGGGGGATGCTCCCGACATCTTGGTAATGATAAGGGAGGCACCGCCAAGTACAGGGTAGTAGTTAGAAGAACGAAAGGGAATTCGAATCCTCCAAAGATGGAGAATTTTCTGAGAAGTCTACGCAGATCAGGTATAGGTGAGAAAGCAATTTGAATGGCAAAGTATAGCTTCTCGTTTCCAGATCGTTAATTCGGAACCACACCTGCACTTACACTTGCCCTACATCCTCATCCTTTAAAGATGTTTCATGAGGGCTCTCCCTCTCTATTCGGTATCCAATGTCCGCCGCTCCAACCGCAAACCAAGTAACACTTACAGAATACGACCTCATCACTCCGGCGAAGAAGAGACACAATTTAGCTCGAGTATCAAAACACACCAATTCACTTCAATATCAACACGAAACTCACGAAATCAAGATCACCGCCAGTGTCCCTCCTACAGGCCCGTGAATACACAGCTATGTTAGATTTCGAGAAGGGTGTATCTGAATGGTACTAAGAAGGGTTTTCCGGGTGTGGTGTTTACATGAGTGAGTTAATGCTGTGAGTTTAGTTCAGTTTTTAATGTTCAAATAGAACGAGGATAAGGGCTGGTTGTGGGAATAGAATGTTGCGTGGTTATGAAGGAAGTTGGTAGGGGGAAATAAGCTCGCAACTCTCTTGATATCTTGGTAATGTTGCAGATGTTATCATATATATACTTATGTTTGCGCTTAGTGATGATGCGATGCGACATCGTTGATATCGATGGAAGATCTGGCCCTTTACAGCTTCCTCATGGACCTCACATCATCGCCCATCCCCCTTCCCTCCTCTATCCACGCGTCCAGCACCTCAAACACAGGTATTCTTGAAAGCCTTTCCGCGATGTAATGGAGTCTAGGTAGTGTCTTCTATCTCCCTTTCTCAAACGAGATCCCCGCTTTGCCTGCCTTGAATATCTTCTCCACACCATGATCAGTGCATACGGCATGAAAACCCCTTGCTCAGCATCCGTGTCTCTCGTCTTGTTTTCTGGTAGCACGGTAGCGGGTACGTATTTTCACTATAGTTAGCCGTAGTCTGTGCCGGGCTACTCCTCTGTTACCGGATCTTTCGAAAGCGCGGAAGCATCATTTCATTCCCCCAGCTTAAAATCGCGAAAGTCCTCCCCAATCCACGAAACGCTTAATCTCACCCTTCCTCCTCCTCTTCTCTCGATATTCAACTCGCTATCATCTTCGGCATCCCCAGTTCTTCCCTCCCACCTACAAACGGATCGACCCCCCCTGTTTCGGATGTGGAGAAAAGCATGAACAAGCGGGATGTAGGTGCTTAGTTTTAAGATTCGTAGAAACTTTGAAGGTTAGCCTCGCCTACAGCCATCCGCACCGACACGCTTTCAATCTTTACAATGTCAGCAAATGAACGAGGAAAGTAATGGGTCAAGTCCGAGGGTCAGGTCTTTGGCTTAAAGGTGAATTGGACATTAACTTAAGCGCGATGAGCACTCCATTTCGAAAGTGGTAGTAGTGCGCGTTTTGCATCGCCAATATATGTCATTGGCATCCATTTGCTTGCAGTCATGGAGCAAGAGCGCGCCTTGGCCATAGATACATATTCCAAATAAGATGAACCCGAAGATTTTTCCAATTTTGAGACGCTATCAGCACCCGTAATTCGCGCCAATTCCGTGCGTTTGCCAGCCAATATATAGAGGAAATATAATGGAGTCTTTATACAGACTGGAATTCGATGACAATGGCAGGTGTGGCAAGGTCGACGAGGCTCGTCAGCCGGGGAACGAGGCATTCCGAAGCGGGGTACCGAACCCCGACGACTTTAAAAACTTCACGGCATGTGTGGGCGTATACACTAAAAACGCTGGAGAATGACCTAAAATCCCGTGCGCTAATCTCAAGTGCAGACGGAGACGTAGCACCATTCCCCCCTTCATCAAACCACTATGTCCACATACGCCTCTCACTTCGGGATTAACAACATTCCATACGGAATCGCCACTTCCAAGATCAGGCTTTCACGTCAATGCGTAACTCGAGTTGAAGATGAAGTAATCTTCCTAGGGGACTTGGCCGACAAAGGAGTCTTTAAGGGTATATCCGCGCCTTTAGCGAAATTTTTTGGTGAAAGGAACCTGAACGCTTTCGCCGCGCTGTCCAAGGAAATCCATTCCCAAGTCCGATCAGTGCTACAGAGAGTATATTCTCAGAAAGAGTATCAAGGGTGTTCCGAACCAATCAAAAATGTGACTCTTCATCTTCCAGTCCAAATCGGGGATTTTACAGACTTCTCAGCATCGAAAGATCACCTGCTAAATGCAAGTGAAGCAATCATAGGGAACCGGGCACTTCCTCCGGCCTTTTTCAAATACCCTGCAGTCTACGCTGGACGAAGTTCGAGCGTCCGGGTATCTGGTACACCAGTTACAAGACCTCATGGACAGTTCATCGAAGATTACACAGTACCTGAGAAACGAATCATCTTCGGGGCTTGCAGAGCTCTCGATTACGAACTGGAAGTCGGTGCTGTCATCGGCAGGCCAGTTCAGGCTGGGCAGATGCTCAAAGCAGCAGATGCTGACCAACATATTTTTGGCCTAGTACTAGTCAACGACTGGAGCGCACGGGACATTCAAGCTCTCGAGATGCGTCCACTCGGTCCATTCAACAGTAAGAACTTTGCGACCTCGATCTCACCCTGGATCATCACTTTAGAGGCGCTGGAGAAGTACAAAGTCCCTGCGCCACCGCGGATGGAGCCAGTGGCCGAGTTCATGGACGACAAAAACAGCAGCAATTACGCCATCAACCTCGAGGTAGAGATAGTGAGGGATAAAGCCCGCACTACGACATGTAAAGTGGGTTTCGATACGATGTACTGGACCTTCCGACATATGCTCGCGCATCACACGGTCGGTGGATGCGAGCTTCGAACTGGAGATCTCGTTGCTAGCGGCACCGTGTCTGGTCAAGGTGAAGATGAGCATGGATGCCTTTTAGAGCAAACCAAGAACGGGAAGAAACCTAAGACGTTAAGCAATGGGGGAGAGCTACGATACTTGCAAGATGGTGATAAAGTTCGATTTACAGGGGTTGTTGGTGCGCCATCTGACGGTATCGGCTTTGGTGAATGCGTTGGAATTGTTCAGCCCGCGAGGGAGTTGTAATGCAAACATTCCATTTTCCTCACAGGGTTCAAGAAGCTATTAGGGTGTACTAGAGCATTTGTTGGTGGAAGAGAAATGCTGATCGTGTCATGATGTTCAACAATTCATGGCAAGACGCAATTAAGTATTAACATCGATATTCCAACAGATTTCGTTTTCAGTTTTCTGAAGTTAAATGCGTGTGGCTCGGCTTCCCTTCACATATTTTCTATCTGTAGCCAGCGCGCCTTCACGACTTAGCTTGGGCGGTTATACCCATAATACGGACGCCAACTTTTCTCATTCACAAGACTAAACCCTCGTACCTTCAATTCCCCCGAGGGCATTAGGTAATCATTTAAATAGCAGGGCACCTAGCCACTCTCCCACACTCAGCGCTATCTCAGGGATTTTGGGAGGTTACCCAGCATAGGCTCTCTGTCCACGAGACTTTAGCCATTACAACCAGACTTTTGTTTCCTGAAGTGGCAGTTTAATTACCTCGCATTCTTAAATACAAGGTAGCAAGCTCAAAAGCTCCGTCTACAATTACTAGTGTTGGAATGGACCCCATCCCAGTGCATATTCTGAACTCTTCATCTTCGCCATCGACCCATTCTCACCGCAATCGTCCACAAGCATGGCTTACAACCTAGAGTACTTCCAATAGCATTACGATGTCGACTCCGTCCGAACCCCAAAGGATTACGGGTGTTAGGAGGAGTACGGTAGATGGAATTTTGATATGAACGACTTGAGAATAATTGCGAGAGATGGTTGGAATAACTGTGGTGTGGAACGTGTGCTTTTATATAATGAAATCTCTAAAACGTGCGGCTGGAAGAGTTTACCAGGGATAAAGACAACTGGAGTAGTGTAAGATTGTTAGGATGAGTATAACTACTTAGTCTTTCCCGAAGGTCAGAGGACTTTCCCATGCTTCTCTTATCAAAATTTCAGTCTCGACTTCGGATGTACCTTCTGACCCTTCCGCAAGATATGCGCTCGTGCGGTCTTGGCCATCGCCGAGTTTGCGGCACCCCTCGACTACTTCCTTCTCTCCATGAAGGTACATCGCTCCCACCCCTTGCAGAGCTATTTCTTCAACCTAGCCATGGTAGCCCTAATTAGGACTTGGCAGTAAGAAGAGCTGCTGTACTGATTACACTTAAACGTTGAAGGCAGTTCTTTGTCAGCCGCAGGAGACGGCCTTCACTTAATTTGTACCCCGGTCTTCTGACTACCTGGGTCATAAACTCGGTGCAAAAGCCTATAACACTTTGAAGAAGTGTGATCAATCCTCAGCTAAATATGTGAGCTCACCAGCCTCTTCCGCGGCAATTGGTCACCCCTCTGGAGAAGATGTGTCTCCAAAACCCTCACTCCACACGTCTATTCTTTGGTTACCTTGCATGGGCACGAACTAATATCGCACGGTTAGAGCTGATAGATGATAGAGGGCATGGAGCTGCGAGTCGTCAATCAGGTGGTGAGAACCAAACTAGGTGAATTGAGCGAAGGTGTAAGGCCTGGTCTCAGGAGCTTGAGGGGGCTCCGAGCCAACTATATAGTGAAGGACCAAAAAGACGCTAGTACTAAGAGAGCGACTACTGCTGCGCTGACTCATATTAAGGTAAAACACTAGTTACGTCATGTGACGTAGTTTCACTTGCTCTAATTGTCACGTGCGACAACCAACACACTGGGGTGGCTTCAAATGCTGCAACTGTGGGGCATACGCTGCTGAGAATGCGGACACTGACTGTCTCGTTGACGATGAAGAGGATATTGGGGAGGATACGATTCATTCGAATACGCTGTCTCAGAGTGAATATTGGAAGGCTTATCTGAAACTTTGGAGATAGCTGGATTGTTGCGAAGGCCACGTCGAAGATGGGGGAAACGGACTTCCAGGTCGTGTAATGGTTCTCGGTTCTTCTTTGGAGGTACCATGGCCCACGATAAAATTCACTGAGCTTTTCAAATTCCTAGTGGCCCACGTATCGAGTTCAGGCGTAAATTATGGTACGCTACAGCTACTATAAAGGGCTTTGTACAACTTACCTCAACCTGAAACTCAATTCCTCGCTCTTATAACTCAATCTCTCATCCTTTGCGCCTGTACTTACAAACCACTGAACTCAAATACTAGGCATAAACCTTTATCCTCTGCTTCTGAAAAAAATCAAAATGAGCAGCCACGACGATTCCTACGACTACGGCGACTATAACGAGAACAATAGTTACTGGTACTACGACAGAAGGGGAGGGATGTATAATCCGTGCAGTACGGTTCCTCACCGAGATGACTGGACTTGCTGTCATTGTAGTTACGAAAATGGCGATAGCGAGGACATACCGGAAGACCTTGGACTGGGCGCACACCTCTGTGAGTCTTGCGGACATCGACAATGCATTGGATGTCCTATTATTGGCTTAGACGGAGAAGACGGTCAGCAGTATGGAGAGAACGATTACTATGGTGGTTATTGGCGTAGCTGAGCGGCGTATCTGCTGTGAACAAGTTCGCTAGGTGGAGCCTAGCCTTTGTAGCTTGCGCTTCCTAAGTAAGTGAGACTTGTTTATGTACCTCAAAACTGTGATACAAAGTCAACCTCTATAACTTCAGAGAATTTGCTACTTCACCACTCTTGGTAACAGAAGCTCATTCCCTTAGAATTTATTGAGTGCTGCTAATGCAGACGTGATGACGGAAAGGAAGAGCTTCTTTTATGCTCATGGTAAGTACATGGAACTTGAGAATTGTTTTGGTAAATTGGGGTGGCGAGGGCCAGTAGGATTTGCTAGGGTACTAAAAGATGTCATGTTGTGAAGTCGTAGACTACTTTGCGTAAACGGTTGACATATCGTATATTAAGGAAATTAATAATATATTAATTTTCGACTTCACGGATGTGAGTGCATGTATCTTTGATTATTGAGTACTTTTAAATTAAAATGTATCGCACTAATTCTCGCGAGATTTGGGGGACTTGGATTAGAGGTGTTTACTCCCTTCACTCATTAGTGATTTCCTTTCGAAAATATAAGATGGGTGGAGAGTCCTTGGGTTTTAGTTCACGTTTGGGTCCATTCATTTCCGTACACCTTGGCCACTAACTAGTGAAGGTTTGTGGAAAGCGCGCACAAACAGTCATACAATTAAGAATTGTCGGTAGAAATTGAAAGCAGGGGTAACACACCTAGGCATTCAAGATCGCACTTCTAGAGATTATCTCGAACACTTACCGAATGTTTCACTCATAGGAATTCTCGTAGCGGGCCTCTTCACGCTCTCCCGATCCCACTTCAAGCCCTGTTAAGACCTGTCACCCTCTTACTAGCAAACAATCAAACCCTGCATTCAACCATAATTCCACTATACAACCCTCAAGATCCAACCTACAATCCCAATATAGTTGTCCGATGCTAAATCCAGTAGGAAGAGATGCCTCAAACGAATTGATACTACTTCACTGGCGCTGCCTGTACGCCCACCGTATTCACACTAACGACTTCACATCCACCACTTGCAGACGGCTGGAAACCGCCAGCAGCAAAAGGGTGTACAACACGCAAGCTTGGTACAATAGGTGAAGTATACCTGTGCGGAAGTTAGCATGCAAACATCCGACTCGCCAACAGCAAATGCGGAAAACGTTCCCACAGCACCAACCTTCTTGTCCAAGCTAAGTGGATGGTGGAGTGATACTTGGCTAGTAACTGCTAGTAGGTCTGTTGGCTCTAAGGCTACTTGGCGCGAAATTTACATATTTGACATTGTAAATGAGGCTCCGGGTGCCCAAACATGGAGACAACTGTTATCACTCAGTGTCTACAGAGACGATGTGTGCCGAATATTTGCGATAGCGATAGGCTGTGTAATTGCGATCTTACCTCTACTTCTAGACGCATGTTTGATCCATATTAAACTTGGGGATGGACTGAAAGGTGAATCTTACTACCTGAGATACATGCCACCCTTGGCGGCTCCTAGCTTTCGTACGTGGCAACTTAATACTCAAGTTCTTTCGAAATCAACATCGATAGACCATAAGAGGTAGTGGAGGTAGGATTATTGAAGGTATGTGCCATTCTATGCTTTCCCGAGATTGAAATCGTCGGAGCAAAGGAAAGAAATGGTCACGGGTTCGGTCTCCTGATCCATCCTGCATATGAGGGAATTATGAACAATACATGACGAGAGGAATAAAATGGCCTACCACTCTCCTAAGTTCCAGTAGCAATTATATAGGACTTCTCGCACTGCCATAACCGTTTCGTATATCGTTTCCTGTCACAACTGGCTCGTTAAGCTAGCTGTAAGCCGAAAAAGCGCCACCAATATCAATTGGGAAGACAGCTGATAACTTGAACAACCTAGGCACCTACTCATTCGGTGACCCCTGTTATGTCAAACCCAAAACAAGTCTCAAAGGCTCCAGCGCATACAAAGCTTCCGGATGCGCCTTGGGTCTGTCACAATTGTTCCAAGTTCAACGTGGTATTACCCGGCGCGAGAGCTGCGAGGTGTAAATGCCTCCACCAGTGGTGCGACGAATGCGAGAAGAGCGACACGGGAGTGTTTGAGAAGCCAATCTTCATGGCTCAGGGTTTACCGTGATGGCTAGGAGGATCAGAAAGGAAAGGTGGAAGAAGCGTTTGCATCTTTCTCAAGCTGAGAATCAAAATTATTTTTTTTGCGGGCCATTTTCCCGCTTTTTTTATCCGGTGATTCAGCTTAGATGTGCTAGGATACTTAGGTGTGTCAGGAGTTGGATATTCAACCTTGAGCAGTTTAAAATGAAAGCGACATGATGAACTCGTCTAATGATATTGTACACCCAGCTCAAATTTTAGGCTTCGTGTTGAGCAAGTTTATAAGTTAGAATTCAGGCTTTCTACGTCCTACCTCGGGAAAATATATGATCACATGACTATGACATTCACCCTAACAATCGTAGTAACGGCTTCACAGCCACAAAGTCTCGCTTAACGCCTCGCTTTGGCATAATGCCTCTAGCAATGTCATGGATAACACTCTCTTCCGCCAATCATGAGCCCATCGTTGAATATGATGCGATGGTTACAACAGCTGCCATTGCAGTGCCTAAAATCGTTACTTGCTAAGGAGCATATAAGAAATAGTCTCACCTAGTCACTCAAGCGAGTTCAATCAGAACCTTTCAATCGCAAAGAGAGTCCGACAAGAAGTTCGAGGAAACCAAGCCTCCAATCCAATCATACAAACTATCTCAATGTATTTCAGCTTGCAGAATGTTGAGACCAGAAGTCACTATAAAGTTCAGACACACTCCTTTTCCGAGGTTTTGTTGGTCCGTTATTAAAGAACTTGCCATCACCTGCTGTCTGAATTTGGGGTCAGTTCATGCGAGAGGACCGCGTTCAAAAGAAGCCACCAACAGCTTATGCCCAGGGCGTCCAACGGGCCGCACTACGGTCTGTACAAAGTGAACCGTAACGGTCACGTGTTCAGTACGAACGTACCGAGTTCGTGAGCCGTACCGTACGTTTAATGATGCCCCAGGTACAGTACATAGTACAGATCATATTACCCTTTTAGGAAACTTGTATAAGGATTCTAGAGGAGTAGAAGGGCTCTAGCAAGTAGGAGGCTTATAAGAAGCGTTTAGAGGGACTTTTAAAGCTCTAATTAGCTACAAGTTTTAATTTATCTATTTACAGTCTATTATCTTAAAAATGCCTATTAACGTACTTTACAGGCGAGTTGCTTACACACCTAAGTTACTTACTTTTACTAAGACCCTACTAAACTACCTTTTCTACACTAATGCATTCCCCACAACACTACTTAAATGTGCTAAAAGAATGTTAGATACAGCTTATACTTTAAGCTTTTAAATAAAACATAAAACTTTTAAAAAAATGTGCTATAGCTATATACAAAGTCTTATAAAAAATAATAAATAACTATAGCTGTCTGTACGCAGCAGCAGCGTCGCGGCCTGGATACGAGCGATCGCGCACGAGCAGGATCACGTATCTATGTCACATGATGCTTGTGCGCGAACCTCTGTGCGCGAACATCTAGATATCCCCCTTTTCCTCTGTACAGAGGAAAGACAAGAGTAATAGAACTAGAAATATATTACCCTTGCTTTACTTACTTTGTACGCTGTGCACACTGTACACTACTCTTACTTTTGCTACTTAAGTGCTTATACTATAAGCAGCTAGCTATTAGAGCCTATTTAACACTAATTAGTAGTTAATTTAATTAACTATAAATTAGTAAAAGTAATAATAAAGTACTTATACTTTATAAAGTACTTTATTTTATTACCTATCTTTTAAAAAGAGTAATAGTAGAGTACTTACACTTTATAAAGTACTTTATTTAGTTACTTATTTTTTAAAATAGTAGATTAATTTTTTATATTATATAGTAAGCTTTACTACTGTATAAAGTAAAAAGAAGATAGTATAAAACACATACTAAAGCTACTAAAGCTGCATAACTTAGTAGCTAGATAATAGCACATTAATCCTTTACATTATATAGCAAGCTCTGCTACTATATAAAGTAAAAAGAAGATAGTATAAGGCGCACACTAAAGCTATTAAAGCTGCACAACTTAGCAGCTAGATAATAGCAGTACTTATGTAATTTACTAAAAAAATAATTAACTATACTATTATAATAAAATTTTATTAGTAACTAACAACTTTATGTAATAATAAAAAAAATAAAAAATAATTCTTATTATATAAATAACTTATAAAGGACATAAGGATATTAAAGGTAACACTACAGAATAAGACTAGCCTAAAGTACTAAAATAATAAAATTAACATGTTAGAAGCTTTAACAAGCCTATAAACTTAATTATATATAAGTTATATAATTACTAATTTACATATAATAACTTAAAAAAGCGCTACTTTTTTAAGTATGTACATAAAAAATTTTAAAAAATAGACACTATAAGACTTCTTAGCACTTAGCTATGTGTTTAAAAAGAAGCTTATATAAGTGCTAAAAGATAAAAGAATTACACTATAGCTAGGCACTAAAGGTACCTAAGCCTAGAAGCTGTATAATATAGCATAAAAGAAAGTAATTATACTAAAAAAGCTTTATACATAACCTTTATTACTATATAAAGCTCTACATAGAAGTAGACTAAACATAATGCTACTATTAACACTAAACATACTAGCATTACCTGCTCTTACACCTTAGCTAGCACTACACTAATTACTGTACAAACAATACATGCTACTCTACCTAACGCCTGCTCCACACCCTTAATTGTACACACTACTGCCTGCAGTAGTGTATGCACTACTAATACCACCTGCATAATCTATACTACATTATAGCCTATACAAACTTCTACTCTAGAAAGAAACTACTAAAGAAAAACTTTTAGCAGATAAAATTATATAATTTTAAAAAGTATAAAAAAAAAATAATAACTATATAAGTTAACTATATAACATTTTTATAAATAAAATAAAGATCTTTATTAATTTATATTAATAGCTAGATATCTAGAAAACTTAGTATATAAACATCTTTTTAAATATTCTAAAAGGTTAGGTAAATATGTACTATATGCACAACATAGGCTCTAGATATAACTAGAAGTATTTATATAACACCTTAAGTAGTTACTTTAACACTAATGTAAACTATAGCTAGTACTAGATAGACTAGATAATAATAACTTTTATATAATGCTAATAAAAAAACTTTAATAAAAGTTTATATAAAGCTTTTAAAATAATAATTAATAAGCTTATACTTATATAAAGAGCACTAAAAATAAAATTCTAAAAAAATGTTTTACTACACACTACTATTATATAAGCTTATTAAGGATAACTAGAACTAGAATATGCTATGTTTACTATTAAGCTTTTATATAAAGCCTTATTTAGTAACTTATAGGCATTACTCTAAGTTACTATAGACTAAAGGGTAAACTAATACCTCTAAAAACTACTTAATATATACTACACAAACTACTAATATAACTCTGCATAATAAAAGTTTACATAATAAAAAGAAAGCTTCTCTTTATATAAAAAAAAATAACATAAAAGATTTTTATTTAAGTTTAGGCTATAATTTAAAAATAACTACATATAGATAAAGAAGTGCTTTGTCTACTATAAAAAGAGATATTAGTTATTAAACTACTCTTATAATAACTATACATAAGCAAAGAACTAGTACATTACCTTATATAAAGATTTTTATAATAAAACTTTATTATATAAAGCTATTACTTTATATATCTAAAACTTTAAAAGTTACTTTAAAAAAAAGTATAATTTACATAATATAAAAAAAATAAAATAAAAGAGTAAAAATGCTAAAAAAGCTATTAACTACTTTACTTTTACTACTTATTTATACTATGTAATAAGAGAGGACATTTATAGCATTAAACCTAAAAAATATGCTAAGCAGTTTATTCTTAATAACTAATACTATATAGTATACTAAAGCAAACTATAAAATATAGGTGTAGTAAAAATTTTTACTATTAGTAAGTTTTAACTTAAGGCGTATATATAAAAAAACCTATATATAGAAATTAATTAGACACTTAGCTAAATAGATATTAGCTTTAAAGGCTAGACACTAAAGAGATTAATTAGTACTATATAAATTTAAAACTTAATTAGTCTAGTTACATACTACATTTTAAAGACTTTAACACTATTTTTACTATTACTAGCAAATGCTAACTAACTTAGGGCATACTTTAATAATATTTTAAATGTTATTATATATAAAAACAAAACTACTATACTTATTATATAAAAATAAAGACACTTTTTTTTAATATTAGTAAAAAAGAATTTATGTCTTTTTTTACTAAATTAGAACTCTACTGCCTCTACTGCTAATTTAGACACCCCTGCATAGAGAGACTTTAGAAGATGCTAACTAGCGCTAGCTACAACATTAATGCTGCAGTGCTAGAAGAGATTAAGAAGTTCTACTACCTCTGCTAATTATATAACTAGGCCTTATAAAAATTTAAGTTTATAATTAAAAATAACACTTACTTTAACTATAAAGTTATTATTAATGTTATATAAATTAATAATAAGAATGTTTTACATGTTATTAATGTAAACATATTATTTTAGGCTGCTACATTTCTAAAATCTATGTCTACACAAGATACCTAAAATGCACTA